CATAAAAACTGCTATGCTAATACGTTTTGTGAATTTTAAAAAATTTGTTTGTGTTTAGAGAAAAACAAACAAAAAGATTATAATGACTAAAGTGAAAAAGGCATCAAACTGGATGCCAAGAAGAAACAGCATTTCGGATATTCTTTGCAATTACCCAGAGACTTGCTTTTCTTGGATCACTTATGAGATCCATTCAAGAAAACTTATGTTTTAGAGGAAGTTCTAGAAGCTTTTCTTTTGAAAGTTCTATGAAGTCTTCTCATCTCCTAGAACTATTTTGGATTTTCAATAGATTTTTTAAACTCCGTACCAACCTAGAGAAGTTGACCAAATGTATATGTCCCTACAAAATTCATATACTAAAACCCTCATTCCCAAAGTGCTGGTAATTGGAGGTGAAACTTTGGGAGGTAATTTGGTCATGACAAAGTCTTCATAAATGAAATTAGTTCACTTAAAAGAGAGATGATCTCTCTCCCTCATCTGAGGACTGTAATTGGGAAAAGGAGGCTTGGCAGAAATTGAATTGGCTGTCACCTTCATCTTGGACCTCCCATTCTCCATATTGTAAGGTATTAATTTCTGTTGTTTAAGCCACCCACTCCATGATATTTTTTTGTTATAGCAACCCAAAAGACTTACAGAAATTGGTACTGAGAAGTAAAGTACTGCTGAAAAAATACCTAACAATGAGGAGATTCTGAAACTGGGTAATGGAAAGAGGCTAGAAATTTTGAGGTACATGCTAGAAAAAGCGATTATTGCTTTAAAAGAGTTGCTAAAGGTGATTCTGATGAGGACTCAGCAAGAAAAGAGGAGAGGTGTTGCGAAATGTTTCCTCTTCTCAGGAGACACATAAATGGAATCATGAATGGAATGTTGGTAGAAGAATGGACGTATAAAGCCAGTTGGATAATGTCTTAGATGGAGACGAGGAACACGTTATTGGAAACTGGATGGGAAGAACATGATTCTTATAAGGTGGCAACCAATTTTGCTGAATAGCATATTTGTTCTAGTGATTTGTGGAAGGTAGAGCTTTTGCACAGTGAAAGTAGATATTTAGCCGAGGAGATTTCTAAGCAAAATTTTGAAAGAGCATTGCGACTTTTCTTCATTGCTTATGGTAAAATTCAAGAAGAGAGAAAACAATTGAAGAAGAAATTGTTAAACAAAAAGGACTCTAAAGATTGGAAATATTCCCAGCCTCTCCGTGATACAGATAATACAGTGTGTTGTCAAACAACCCTTTGATAAGGAGATTATTATTATGTGGGTGAACCATGAACCTCATCATCCACCGCCCCTGAAAACACACTGCCAATTTGGAAGAAAGGAAATGGATAAAATTGGATAAAATGAAAGAAGGTTGTCAGACTTCATAGACCTTACAGGAGTAGACTATAGAGCTATTTGGCTACAAAACTGTGCTATTCTTCAAGACAAGAATAACCCCACAGGTGATTCATGAGTCTTCAGGGATGCAACTCCCACAACAGGCTGAGCTTTCATGGGACTGGAGGACAGGAGGGATGCCTGCACTTCAGTTTCAAAAAAAAGGACTGCTGCCAGCACAGCCATATGAAGAGGGACATCACCTTTGCCCCAACAGGCTAGAGTTGTGGGGGTGGAGCAAGTGTGACCTCCACTCCAGTGAGTCCTAGGGGTGGAACTGCTGCCCCAGTGGGCCTGGAAGGTATAGCATCATTTCAAAGTTGATTATTTTTGAGCCTGAAAATATGATGTAATTTAGCTTGTTAGGCCTTTAGATTACCACGCGTCACCCCTTCCTTCTTTCTTATTTCTATCTTTTGTAATGGGAATCTCTGTCCTATATCTGTATCACTATTGCATTTTGGAAGTACATAACTTCTTTGGTTCACAGATTAACAGCTGGAGAGGAATCTTGCCTCAAGATGAATTATACTTCAAGTCTCACCCATTTTTTATTTAGATGCTATTTAAATGAGACTGTGGACTTCAGGAATATGAATTGCCCCTGGAACAAGTTAACACTTTAGAACTCTTGGGATGTAACAAATGTGTTTTTCATGCAAGAAGAACATAAATTTGGGGGGTCCAGTGATGGACTTCTATGGACTGGATGTTTTTAAATGCCTTAAAAATTATGTTTTGGCCTTACTCCTCAACATGATGGCATTTGGATGTTGGGCTTTGGGAGGTATTTAGATCATGACAGTGAAGCCCTCAATAGAATTAGTGTCCTTGTAAGTATAGATACAAGATACATGATCTTTCTCTCTCTCTCTCTCTCTCTCTCTCTCTCTCTCTCTCTATATATATATATATATATATATATATATATATATATACACACACACATATATATATATATATATTGTGTGTGTGTGTGTGTGTGTGTGTGTGTGTGTGTGTCTCCCTCCCTCTCCCTCCCACTCTCTCTCTTTGCCTTGTGAAAATTTAAATAGGAAAAGAACCATTACCAGGAACCAATTCACTTGGCACTTTGACCTCAGGCTTCCCAGCCTCTAGAACTGTGAAAAATTGATTTCTGCTGTTTATGCCACCTATTCTATGATATTTTTGTTATAGTAACCTCAACTGACTAAGATAGAAAGGCTAAAAGAATTTCAGCATAAGTTATATTGACCTACCTTCAAAGACATGAAATCAACTAGATGTCTTCTTCTGTCAGGAATTTCAGCCAATTATTAAATATCTGTTTTTTTTGTTCTCTAACATAAGAAACAAAAGTCACGACTCATCATAAAGCATCTAGTTAAAGCTATAATAGTTGTAACATTTTGCACATATGAACTATAAATTTGTCTGTGAAATTATGATATACAGTTTGTGTCAGAGATATGTCAATTGATTCATTTTGCCAAATTGAAATAATAATATGCACCAGAAAAATGTACAATCCAAGCAGTGTTATGTTATTCATTAGTGTAATCAATATGCTGTAAATTTATTCAATTATTTTCACCTGTATCAACTTCTAAGATAATAAGATTCTTCCTTCTTGGTAGTGTAACAAGAATATTGTGAGAATAATAAAATGTTAACTATGGATTACACTGAAATATATTAGAATAATTAACATGAACTTAAAGGTACTATTTTAAAACATAAATCCTCACAAAATACGATTTATATACTTCTGATTTAATCCTACAGCACACTGAACTTATCTTTGGAAACATATTGTCCCAACCCACATATTTTCCTTCTAGACTGTAAATGCCATGATGGCAATGACTACATCTCTACTGTACTATATTTTTTTTTATTAAGCACAGTGCCTACATCATAGGCTCTTTATGGATATAGATCTAATGCGTATATAAATATCCAACTAGTTCATTAATAAGTAAGCTAGCATTTATAAAACTGCTATGTGAACAAAGCACTGTAAGCACTGCATTTTAACCCAATGCCTGCTATTATTTAGAAAATAACACACACATACTCACACATCTTTCTCAAACAACAGTGCTGGAGTAAGTTGTGAGAAAGTCAACCTCTTTACCTCGGGATCTCTTTACATTGTGTCAATGCTCAGAACAATACAGGTTACTAACACATTTTTAAAGTTAAAAGTTTTATTTAATATTGAAAAGTAAGAAGGGTGGAATTACATGTATATTTCAGGAGGTGGCAAGATGAGATCATAACTACAAAGACATTAAAATAACCACAGTTAATATTACTATTTATCAAGCAGCCAAGGAGTGTTGGTTAACATAGCAAGCACCTTAAGGATGTTATCATATGTAATCCCTATGTCTACCTTATGGATAAGGAAACTGATTTTAGGTGAGATGCAGAGAGCTTTAATAATTTATTCAAAGCCACATGAGTAAGTGACAGAACTAATATTTGACATCAGGTCTGTTGAATGCTCAAAGTTTTGTATTTTATGCTATTCCATATCTCCTTAGTTATGTAAGAAACTTGCAGAATAAGTCTGCAAATGTAAACTGCAATTGAAATTTAACATGTTTGTTTCTCTGATTGCAATTTTCATTTGGTGTCATTAAAAAGTAATTTTCTGTGAGTGAATTCAGCAGCAACTGTGATAATTTATCCAAAAAAGATGAATTGCGTATTTAGTAATAAATGTCTTGATATTGCATAGAACACTTAACCCTGGTATCAAGGAAAGATACCAGTTTGAAATGAAGGGGAAAAAAATTAAGACTTGTTAAGCAGTATAATGAAGAGAATACTCAATGTGACAAACAAAAATAATGCCTCCAAAGGAGCATACACCAACCTCTCAAAAAGATTTCAAAATCTGACTAGTTCAAAAAGTGTGATTACAGTATATAGGAATAATAAAAGTTACATAACGAGAAATTAATTGTATGTTGATTCCTGTTATTTACTCATTTTCAGATTGTTCTGTTACTTTTGTCAATATGAATGCTTATTTATTTTGTTGTTTATTTTTCCTCCATGCTTTAGAATTTTAATTTGAAGCTCAGTTACTCTATTTCTAAACTTTCTCTCTTTACTCACATCTATATATTACCACTTTGTAAGCATGTGGAATAAATTTTCATTAACATACGTATCAACCTAGCGAATAACTTAGCTTAAGTTCTTCCTAAATGGTCTACCTCTCATAGCTCTACACATAAATCAGTTGAAATTTCTTTCTGCATGTCAGTGACTCCTGTATGAGTCCCTGATTTCTTACATAAGCTTGGTTTGAATTCTACATGTTATTTTTGGTATTACATTATTGTTTGGCACTTTGGACATTTTTCTCCATTTGTTTTTCTCATTATGAAGATGCAGCAGATGACAGTATATATTGGTTAATTACTTCTCCAGTATTCCCATTGCTTTAGCTCATTGTCTCTTACCCATTGTAATAATACTGCAATCATTTCTTTTTGAGAAGCCCTTTAAAGGCAGAATTGCATAGTTTTAAGGCTGAAGGAATGGTGTCAAAAGCTAGAAACAAATAAGAATTTTTGGAACAGTAAATTAATGGGACCAGTGTTAACATGGAAATACAAGAGGAGGAGCAAGCTAAAGAGCTTAAGGAGCTCCGTTTTGAATTACAGACTCGGTAGAAGATTCAGACAACTCTAACTCTAACTTAGATATAGCCTATAGTATGTCTTCAATACTGTTTTGTGTAAACAGAGCTGACCGGTGTACCAGAGAATTTCCTTATTTTTGTTGCTTGTCTTATTCTTTATTCTGGCCCTAATATTGTTTTATTTTTTGTTATTGTTATATATTTTGTGTGCACACATGTGTGTGTATATTTAACATGAAATGAGTTATTTTATAGGTTCTGTTTTGTTTATGTGTATTAGTTGTTAACCATGGTAATACCAGCTTGGTAATTATACAAGGTTACCATAAAAATTAACAGGTTATACTTATCAAATAATCTGTAGAGCGCTATACAAACTAAAATGCTGAGTTCTGTACAAAATTAAAGTATTATTATAATTATTAGGTCATTTAGTCTTATATTTAATGATACTAGGACTAGGAGAAATTTTTAACTATGATAAAATGTTCATTACTAGCATACTTAGGCAGTGTCATTTATAATGAAGCTAAATAATAATGGTAATTCTTACTGCATATTACAGATCTTCTCTGAAATTTCATAACATCAAAATCATTTTATTTTACTTTCATCATAGACTTCCATATAATTTCTCAGAGCTCCTCTGCATTTTGACTCTTAAACTCTAGACATCCTGCCTTGTTTCATTCGTTTTTCACCAGCTAACATCTACTTCCGGAAAACAAAAATCTTTGGCACAAAGAGTAATCAAATAGAAAATCAATTTATAATGAATTAAAAATTACGAGAAAGTATTTTAAAAATAACTTTTTGTACTGCTACCTTTCTTAGCATCTATATTACTTGTACGAAAAAATGTATTGGAAAATAGAGATTATAATTAGTTATTAACTTTCCTTTTCTGTTATTATATTTAAGACTTTTTCATCACTCTCATTTCTCTCTGTGATGACAGTGCTACTTGCTAATGGCTTCTTTTGGCATTCTCTCCCTCAGTCTGGCATTGCTGCCAACTTCTGACTTCAAGGAATGAAGTTCTTTTTCTCCAAAGCATCAGTTATTAACCTCATATTTTTCTAGGAAAACATCCAAATTCTATCCCCTATCCTGTATCAGGTTCGTCTTAAATAACTGAAAATAAAAGTCATTTTTTCCTCAACAGTCTTCTGACTACTTTATAGATCTCTGGTCTGGCTGCATTTTCATATGAGGATTCAATATCAGTATATTTCCATAAATCTCTGTATCATTGATGTTACTGATATGTTTATTAATTTTTTTTTGTTTTTTTATGTCTAGGAAATTCCGATCAGAGAATAAAGGTGAATTTTAAGCTGAATTTATGCCTCGTATGTAAACAATTTCAAAGTGAAGGTGATTGCATGTATAGCACATTCAGGATCTATTTTCCCTTCACCAGTTTTCACACTTTGAATAAAGCTTGGACATAGAAGAAAGTAGTGGAGGATTAGACATATGGAGACACTTAAAATACACACAATCTACCAGGCTGAAGTGCCTCTAGGTGATGACAGTGAGTTTATCTTTCTATAATTATGTTTAGTTCTATTCAATCTTTTACTTGTATTTATTTGCTCCGTTTCATTAATATGCTCTTTAAGAATCTTTTCATGAGAATATTTGTTTAAATACATTCTCAGGCAATGATTTTTAGTGGTTCATCAAAATTCACATCCCTTTCTTCCAAGATGGAGAGTCATAGTGTATTTCCAAGGCTCTATTGCAGGTAGAGCAATGTGAATTCTGGACCATGTGTTTGAAGAAGTGGTAGATGATACCTCCACAGTGGAATGGAGAAATCTCCCAGACATATTTACCTTCCTCTTCTCTCTTTCTTCATCTGAAAAATGGAGATGGCTTTTGTTTGACTATGCAACTAAGATTAGGCTGACACTGGAAACCAGTGCCAAAGATGGCAAAAGGTCTGCTAAACTGTATGTCAGCAAGATTTTGTAAAACAGCCCCCGGTGATGTACACCCCTACAAAAATGTTCTATTATGTTAAATCACTAAAATTCTGGGATCTATAAGTTACCACAGCCAATTTACACAAACTAACAAAATGTCTGTGGAGCTTCTTTAGAAAGTGATAATTTATATTATAAATCTTAACTACTTTGGAGATTTTATTTCCTTTATCACCAGTCTTTGAGGTTTTCAAGTTTTATGTAGGGCTGTGATTGGTTGATATTTTACTCCTATGTAAAAGATTGTTTCCTCAGAGGATAACATCGCTAATTGGTTGGGAAGTTCAGTTCAAACCAGGAATGCAACAAATGGCCAACAGCTATTGAATATCTGAAAATTAAGCCTTTCTCTTGGGGGAAAGGGGGGTTAATTGGTATTCAATTATCTAATTACTGGTCACAAACAACCTCTGCCTGAAATGTTTATAATAAGAAGAAACCATCGTATAGTAAGACATAAAATATAGTTAATTTCTATTTCATTGGACCTCTCAATAATCCCCTGAGATCCCCTGAAATCTGATTAAGCAATTATATGGGCAGCAGCACTACTTGTAAGTATTCAATAACATTTGGGATAGGTTATAACCTAGAAGTTAACAATTTATTATCAGTATTCAATTGATATAGTTTGGCAGTGTCCCCACCCAAATCTCATCTTGAATTGTAGCTCCTATAATTCCCATGTGTCATGGGAGGAACCTGGTGGGAGGTAATTGAATCATGGGGGTGGCTTATCCCTGTGCTTCTCTCATGATAGTGAATAAATCTCAGGATATCTGATGGTTTTAAAAATGGCAATTTCCCTGCACACGCTCTCTTCTCTTGTCTGCTACCATGTGAGATGTGCCTTTCACCTTCCACCATGATTGTGAAGCCTCCCCAGCCACACGGAACTATAAGTCCAATAAGCCTCTTTCTCCTGTAAATTGCCCAGTCTCAGAAATGTTTTTATTAGCAATGTGAAAATGGACTAATACATCAACCTTAATTTATCAAATAGTCAGCATAGGAAGAATAATCAGTAGTTTTAAAGACTCATTTACATAAAGTATTCACATAAAATAACTTAGGTTTGAGTTAAGAACCTACTGACTGATGATGGATATAAATATATTTCTAAAAAGGCTAAAAGATTCTACTGGTGTTTTATAATAGTATTATCAAAAGTTATGGACATCTGCTTCCTAGAGTTTTGTTTTGATTCATCATAAACGTGTGTTTCATATGTCTGTTTAAGATATAAACATGTTAGACTGAGTGAATGTTTTATATTTGTACACAGAATTGCTAAGGGCTAAATATTGTCCTTAGGTTTCCATGTGGTTTATTCACTTCATTCATAATTTTTTATTGCAGTCAAGAACAAAAATGTCAGCTCGTGCTTTGGATAAATTGTTTAAGTACCTTTATATTTTAAAATCTCCAGAGTGTATCTTGTTCTCTGTGGCGTATGTAATAATAATAATTAATACTTGATGGCTTACTGTATGACATGCATTGTTCAATGTGCATTACATTTGTTAACTCATGTAACTCACTGAGACTTTACAAAAGTCTTCCATTTTGCGAATGAAGAACTTGGCTTTTAGCAATGCTAAATATCTTGCCCAAGGTAACACAGATAGAAGTCATAAGGATACTATTTGAGCCCAGTCACTCTGGCATCAGAATGCAGTGCGCATTAGCCCATATCTCTTTTTACAAAGATCTAAGTCAGCTTTGAGATATATTTTAGAGGCTTTTTCCACATTCATTCTAAATTATAAAAGAGTAGAAGTAAATACGTTAAATAAGCTTTAACTACTGCACCAATATTTTTGTAGTCATTATTTGGAAGAGATTATAGATGATAAATTTTATCTGAAGCAACTTTAGAACATTATTATTTCATCTTAGGCTTCTGATCAAAATCATATAGGAAAAATGGAAGGCTTAAGAGTTCTAGAAGAGTATTTATTTTTTTTTAAATTGGCCAGGTTATTTTTTACATATCAAAGTAAAGCCACATCAGTCATGATGTTTTTCCCTTATGTTCCTATTTCATTTCTCCTTCTTAGAATAGAAGTTGTTTTTGTTTTTATTTTGACCTATTAGAGATAAGATCATTCCTTGCTGTACCACTTAGTGCTTTTCACACATAGCACGTTATAAAAACTCTTGGCCTGCTTTTTGCCTTGGTAATAATAGCTGGTAATTCCAAATGGTAATAGTAATATTATTTAGCTCCTAGAGTTATTAGAGTTATTAAATAACTTTCAGGTAAGTCATACTGCATAGGGTCAGAATAAAATGAGAGGCACAATAAATTATATTTAACAATCATAGGAATAAAAATTTAAAATCATTAAGAAGTGCTAATGTGTATCTTTTAATGGTTTAACTTTGAATATTAACCATTGAAACTAACCTAAAACAGCAACCAATTTAAATTATTATAATGGCCTTTATAAATTACAGCTTGAAAACAGAATAATTATCTCATGCTACCATTATTCCTTAAAGCCAGCTAAAACCACGTAGTGATGAATACAACTCCCACTGCTCCCTGGAGACTATGATATTTCTTTAAATTTCTACTGAGCTTTCAATTACAAGGGAGAGCAGAAACAGTGAAAGCCTTGCAGTACCATATTACCTTATAGCTACTTGTGAGAGAAAAAAAAAATATATCAGGGCTGAATAATTATAGCAGAAACCAGATGATGAGCTCACCAACAGTCCCAGATAAATATTTCCAGTACTCAGAATACAAGAGAGGCTTTGCTAACTCATTTTCTAGTCAATTATTTGAAATGTCTTAGACAACTTGAAAGTAAAGAAACACCCCAGAACTTATTACAATCTGCTAACTATATTGAAAAGTTGTCATCCATACTGAGTGGTCTTGAATGTCCCATAGCAGTCAATTAAGACATAGTTATAAAATTTATTTTTCTTCAGTCATATACATGTCAAGCTACTCCTCTGAAAAGAACAATTTACCTTCCACTTAATTCCTACACTGTTGATAATTTTAATCCTTAGTATTATTTG